ACTTTACTTTTGAGGGCTGAGGCTTTACATTTTGCAGAAATGTGGACAGGGAGAGGGATAGAGAAATATAACATTACAGCTTTAGACAGGATTTCCTTAATATTTGCTGCAGGAGGAAAGTGTTAAATACAATTTAGAATATTGTACTTGGTTTAAAGTTGAAACAGTACTAGTTTCTAGAGAACATAGAGAGAAATTCAGAAAGCTGTCTTCGCTGTATCAAATCAGCAACACTTGCCATTTGCACCCATGATCCCGAGCTCGCTAGTAATTCCTAGAAGATAAATCAAAACTCGCAGAAACTTATCCCCGCGTCATTCTAATTCATGAAAGTACACATTCATTTGATGGCAAGGTTGATGGAGAATTTATCGTTATATATCCCACTTACGTGGCTTTAATGGTTTAAAGCCAAAGATTTACAGTATGAACTAGTCAACAATTTCCAACTAGCAAAACGTAGTTCTCGTATATTAATTGGATGAATAATAGTTACAGAAGTCTCAATGGCCAAAAAAGGGCAGTTTTTAAAAAAAAAAAAAAAAAAAAACCACTATAAATTGTAAACTACATTGATTTTACAATCTATTGTGTTCTTTGAAAACTTCATGGTCTGAGTATCAATTTCTTCCTGCTTTTTAGTTTCTTAATGAATAATAATTAAAGAAAATTCGTGATAGGATTACATATATAGAAAGAATTTGCTCTTACCATGCCAACGATTGCCCCAATGCTTTGAGAACATCTCTACGATGGAAACCATATTCACCATAAACATGATTAGTTTGTGTTTTACTACAACGAATAGCACCCTGATAATTAAAGCACATAAAAACAAGAAGGAAAAAGAAAACATGAAACGATGAGTAGCAGCAGCCATTGGCTCAGACAATCAAATTCGAATAACCTAGTCCATGAGTAAGCATTTGCAAAAAAAATGTAAAAATAGTTACAGCCCGAGTGAAGTATCTATTAGCACGGAGAGAGTTAGAGTTGGGAGAAGGGACATAGACTGGGACAAGAGAAACCAAAGAAGGTGTAGTTGAAAGGAAAGAGACCCTCATTGCCTCCATCTTCCCAAATTTTCAACCAATAACAGATTTCCATTTTTTTTTTCGTTTCTTTTTTGGGATTGAGTTTGACAAATGAAAAGAGAGAGAGGTACGTGTTTGAGTATGCATGACTGTCGTCCCAAGCACCGCGCTTCAACACACGAAATTTGATGAAACCACATGATGCAAATTTTATAGCTCTAAACCGGTTACTTGATAATGCAAGTTGCATATCTTCACGTGAGAACAAGATAAAAAATTGAGAAGAAAAATAATTTCACATTAGAAAAAAAAATTGATAAAACAATCATTTAAGTTAAAAAGAATAAAAGTTCATTATAGTTGGATTTAAATGACTAATGCACCATGGCCTTGGTTTTTTTGTATTAATTAAATAATTAATATATATTAATATTTAATTAATGACACTTGGCACTTGATACTTGATACTTGATTGATTCAAGTTTGGCCAAAACAGATAGAAAAGTAAGAATAAAAATAAGTTTGTTCAAAATAAATGTTTTAATTATTCAAAAACAAACTTTTTTTATTCAAAATAAACATTTATTTGTTTATAAAAAATTATTCTTATTTTTTGAAAAAAAATATAAAAATAATTTTTGAAACTCTTCTTTTTTTTTTTTTAAACTCCAAATCTCTTTTATAAGAATTTTGCTGCATAAACTTTTATAAAATTTCAATAATCTTATGATATACTAATAATTTTGACAATTTAAACCGTAATTAATCATTACATTTTATTTTATCCTCAAAATTTATCACTTACAATTCTTTTACACACTTATTAAGTAAATAAAATTTTTAAAAAATAATATTATTACATATCTTGGAACCTTTCCTCAAAATTTTAGATTTATCAAAAAGAGGAATTCTAAATTTTTAATATTTACACTAATAAAAAGTGTTAAATTTAAAACATTCCAAACAAAATTTATGATGTTATACTTTAAAAAAACTAATATAGATATTGAGTATTTTAATCTTCACAAGCTCCAAGTATCAGAACAAAAAATAATTGATTACCTCAAAAAGCAAGTGACGAGTTTTAAATTATAAAAGTTACATGACGTGTCTTCATCCAATGTCTAATGTTGGAACGTATTAATAAATGAATAGTTATTAAAAATTATTAGATTTAAATTTTATTGATAATTATTTATTAAGATCATTTTAAATATATAATTTATAATTATTTATTTTAAATTATTAAATATAATATATTTTATTTTAATTTAAAAAATTAAATAATCTAACTATCTAAAATTTTACTTTAAAAAAAAAAAAAAAAAAGGTTGAAGGCGGTGTTTGAGACGACTGTCTGTAGCATTTCTTTTTAATTTTAGTACTTAAATCATAAGTAACTAAAACTCAACCAGCTCGAAAAATTATGCAATGATTTTCAACCTCAAAAGCAAATATAGAGGTTGACTCTTTGGAAAGGAAAGGGTTAGGGATGGAACGTATTTTTGTGGGGCATACAATTTTACGTTAGTGGACACTTTTGTGTATTTATATAATATAAAATATTAAAATTTATATATTTATATTATATTTTATATAAAAATTATGTATTTTAATTTATGTGAATATGAAAATATAAAATATAATTTTTTTATTTTATTAAATTTATATATAATTATTTTATAATTTTAAATTATATCATTTCATATTTTATTTTTATATTATATTTATATTTTATTATGTTAAATTATGGAATCCACTCGAAATGAAAAGTAAGAGTGTGTGTTAATATCATTTTCAGGGAAACTTCAACTGCTGCAATTGCTTGTTTGATTTGAAGCAATTTAGTTATAGGTATAGCCAACTGTAAGCAGTCCACTCAATGGCGGATCATAATGGAAACCAGAGGGGCCTTTCCCCACTAAATGTTTGAAATCTCCTTTAATATGCATATATATACTTCTATTAAATATATTTAAATTGTCCTAATTTTTAAATTATTCTTCTAATAAAAAATGTTAATTTTATTATTTTATGTTTTATAAATTAAATTTATAAATTATAATTTAAGAGATATTCAAATAATATTTATATTTATTTATTTATTATATTCAAAATTATTACTTGTAAATTCTTATAATTGTTAATAACTTTTTTTTGAATATTTTTTATAGTTATTTTCACTTTAGATCTCACATGTTATAATTTTTTTCAACAAAAATATCATATTTGAATTACTTTATAAAAGGACAAAAAAATATTAAATTTCTAATCTCAATTTTTCATTTTTATTCTTTTAGAAATATTATTTTTTATTTTGATAAAATATTTAATGATTGATTTATTTATATTTTTTATTTCACTTTTAAATTGTCAAAAAAATAAAAAATTATATATAATTACTAATTCAATAATTAATTATAAATCATGTTATTATTAAAAGTACAATGTTATCATAATAACATTTTTGTCTTATAATTTTATATTCTTATTATGTTTTCATTAGTATATTATTTATCTATATATATTAATAAACATGATAAAATATGTTTTAAAAAATAAAATATATTATATAATATTAATTGACTCCCATGTTAAGAGCCTTACTGAATCCATCGGTATTTGTGTTCTCATTTGTTGGTGGCAAAAGTTTTTTAGGCTTTAAGATCATATTGTAGCTAGCTAGACTGTAGTAATGGATTGTTGTGCGAATTGGCTTGCCTCTTCATGGAGTTCAGCCAAGGAAAGCAAAATTGGGTAGAGAAGTGAAGGTCCACTCGGCTGAGATCCTGCCCAAGGAGTCCTACTTAGCTTGGGCAGTGGTCTCGGGGCTAGCAGGGCTCAGAATTTTCAACCCAAATTTACTTTCTCTTCTTGGTTTACGACGGCCCATTCTAAATTCGGAATTGTATGCGCGATGGTCAGATAAATTACGCAACTTAATTCATTTCATTCATATAATTATTCTTTAAAAAATATTTAATAAATTTAAAATTCAATTTTTAAAATCTATAATTTATTAATCTCACGCTACAATCTCCTTTAGACTAAAAAAAGCCTGCAACGACATTACCACAAGATCTAAATTCGTGCTTAAAAAATTGGCTTATGTCGTCATTAGCTAGAATAAAAACTTAAACCATTCGCTTCCTATATGACATTCATTTTTATTCCCACCAAATCCATGTCTGATTCGGAGTATATGAACTAGTTCGGACTACAGAAAGAAAACAAGAAAAAACAACTAAACAAAAACCAGACAGAACCAAGGAAGACGGTGATTGGCGATGACCAAGTATTGAGTCAAATCTAATGTTGTGTCACCTCTGATGACCACATGAAATGAATAATATCTTAGCAGATATTACCAACGTAGTATACTAGCAGTCTGCCAGCATTTTGCAAGTTTATAAATTGATGATGTAGAATTTGGTACGTTGAAAGAATATAAGTTTGATTCCAACCTCTTATTTTAAGCTTTTAAAATTAATGATTAGTTATGATGGAATTAGCTAATCTATCAACATATAAAATTTGGACTATCTTATCATATTAATCTTTTGAGCCTAATGATTGGCAACAACTATTGATCAAATGCTCATATACATATTCAAGTAATAATCTGTAAGATGATTGAGTTAGAATTTAATTTTAAAAGATTATTATCATGAATAAAAAAAACTACTAGTAAGAAAAAATCAATTAGATTTACTCATGAATGAAACCTGCAATAATTTTGAATTAAAGCAAAATAATTACTAATCAAGTAGATTAGTAAAATGACATTTTTTAAGGGTATATAAAAATTTATTTTAATTCCTTTAATAAAATTAAAAACCTTCACTAACAATATAATTTTCATATATTAGGAGTGTAATTTTTAACTTCACATATGAAGCAACATATCTCACTTTTATTTTTTATTTTTTATTTTTTTGCTATACTTTAAGTATGTGTCACATTGTTAATTCTATTTGTAAAATCTAAAAACTTTATTGTATTAATTTATTTTTAATTAATCAGCATATGGAAACATTGACTTATGACTTATGAGTTCTGATCTCTTAGTCGGTCGTTAACGGAAATTTCAAGTTTCATTAAAATGGAACCAAACCCGTCCCTTTCTTGGTAGTTGAGATCTGTCCACTTCTGTGCCAAAGAAATAAGGTAAAGATGTTTATGTATAGCGTATGTTTAGGCCCAAAGACCAGGAGGCAAAGTATATTCTTAATTCCTGTAACTGAAGAAGACTGAGTCAAAATGTTTGAACTTAAGCGGTCCCCTGATCAAAATTGTTAACTTAAATGTCATCATAAACGAGTTTGAACATAGAATTTACGGAAATTGCCAAGAATTTGATCTGGGTTTGTCTTGCCAGCTGTCCATACTTTCTTGCAAAAGTTTTGTGCCAGCTTAAATAGGTTGAACTGGCTCATATAGGAGGAAGTTGCTGAGAACTTGAGACCTGTTGTATTTGACCAGCTGTCAAATCAATCTTTCCTCTTTTTTATTTGATTATTAGCCGTAGGTCCTAAAACATACGGCCACATCTATATATAGTTGAATCAGCTTGAATCTTTGAATTCTCAACGCAACCGAAGAAATTTCTTGGATGGAGAGATCGCGCACGACAGAGCCATGAGCCCACAGCTTGTGCCAGAATGTTTTTGCTGTAATATACGGAACTTCTGTCCTTTATTTTTTACACTAGACAAAATTAAACAACTTTTTTTTTCTTCATAAGCTGCAATCGCATGACAACAAAGCTTTGATTCTCCGATCTTTTCCTTCATATTCCACCGGAAGGAACAAAAGAATAAAATAATTTCGTACAATAGCAGTGTCTGAAAGTACAATACCTTATATTTTATCAGCAAGTACAGACAGAAACAAGGAACTGATCAATCAAAATACAAAGATGTATGCACAATACGTTTATCAACATGTAATTCTGCTTAATGTTTTCTTCTTCTGTATTTTTACAAATTTGAAAGTGTTGATGCCTGGAACAACCATGATGGGATTCTCGGACTGGATTTGCTTAAGATCAACAAAAAAGCTAGCCAGTTGAACTCTAATCTATCAAGGAAACTGATGCATGAAAAATAATGAAACAAATAAAAATCCAACAAACACCACCATTAATGAACCCTGGTGGAACTCAAAATCTCTCTCACAGTCCTTGAGTGTTCTAACCCCGTAGCTTCCTCCTTCCTCATAGTGTTTTTTGGATGAAGCAACTTTGACAAGAACCCACATTTCTTGTTTTTATCTTCACCTTCTTTGCTTCTCATTCTCGAAGCAAAAGCTACTGATCTGCTCTTAGTGAGTATATTCTTGCGACTAAACAATAACAGAGAAAAAGAAGTACCCTTTCCTTCTGTAGTAAAACGGTAACAATGCATGGGAGAGGAATAAGAAGAAGATGAAGATGAAGAATAATAAGATGATAAAGAAGATGAAGAAGAACAAGAATAGGCAACTTTAGTCGCAGTCGTACAACGTGAGCTGGAATTGGCTGATAACTGAGAAAGTTTCTCCGTTAAACAAAGTGAACAAACCCCTGGTGATTGCCTGTGCTTTGGGTGTCTTTTGCATCCTTCATTTGGCTTAGATCGTCCACCTGCAACATCCTTTGATGATCTTCTCAAGTAATTTGCCATTAGATATTTGCTTCTCATCTCTGGGAGTCTTGGTCTTGGCTGCAGCGCCTTCGGGCTCTAAAACCTACATATAAAAGCAAAGTGGGTGCGTTTCCAAGAGAGTTCATGGGAGGTTTCCCTCGTGTTTTCAGTCAACTTTCGCTTTTGACTGTTACATGTTGTGTAAGTGTTGGAAAAGTTGGATATGGAATAAGTAACGGCTCTCATTGATAGGAATTTGGATGGGGTCCACTTGATTGTAGAGTCGGTGGTTGAGATGGTTTGTGTAAAAACAGTGAAGTGTGGAAAGGGTCAAGGGCGTAGAAAATCAGGGAAGTCTTGGTAATATAATAATAGTGATATTGGCCCGGTCATTGGTGGAGGCAGAAGGGAGTGGACGTGATCAAAACAGTAGAAAATTTGAACCAAATTTAGGTGAAGAATGCTCAAAATTGTAAAATAAATATAAGTAAACGTCCACGTTAACATTCCAAGATAGTCCATTATTCCCCACCCCATCAATTTATTTACTACACATATTTTTTATCCAAAAAGTTATTTATTCACTGTTTATTTTTTAATTTGATAGATTAAATTTTTTTGGGTGACAAATACTAAAAGGAATTTGACCTTGTATGATTTATTAGTTAAAATTTTTTAATTGGTTACAATTTTAGGTAAACATTTTAATTATAATAAGTATACATAAAAAATTACATGTCTAAAAAAATTAATAAACAAATAAATTAAAATTAAAACCTGGAGACTTAAATTTAAAATTTGAAGACTTAAAACATCTTTTTTGATGTTTTCTTTGATGTAGAATAGTTTTCATATATTTTATGAAAACCTGTTTATTATGAAGAGCCGAGAAAGAAGAATAAAAGTCAATAATACTTGAGAGCAATGACTGAGAATTGAGCCACCCCCCCCCAAAAAAAAAAAGGCATTTTAGTCTAAAAACATGTGTTGACTTAATTTGAGGTAGGGGAGGTCCATCAGAAAATTTGCTCCGGGGTCCGTACATAAATATTATAATGGTTTAGTGACATGTAAAAGTCATGCTTAAATGGTTGTTAAATTGTTAAAAGAGTCATTGCCATCAGGTCTTTTCAGTTCTCTTCATCAATTTCACATTTAACTCCAGTTTAAAACAGACTTTACCCAGATTGAAGGAAATTATGATTTCACCATTTTTCTTGCAGCTTCCGAACAGGTTCATAATTCCAGGTGGAACTGTGGGCCAGAAAGAAGCTTTTCTTTGTGTAGCGGAAACAAAGTAACTAACAAGGTGAAAGGAGTCGGTTGAGATTATATCATATTGAGGAACTAATAAGAACAGCAGTAACAACATGTCAAAAGCAGAATCCTCAAGCGATGTTGGTCTGCTGATATGGGACAAAGATTTTATTAGGACGCGGAAAGCCTGGTAGGAAGGTGATTCAAAGCGGGAGTGGGATTCTTTCCAGCCATTAAAGGTCCATACTACACCTGTAATGTTGTAATAAAGGCTTTACACTCTTCTTTACCTAAATTTCCATCTCTTTCAAAGTTTCCTGCAGTTGGGCCCGAAGAACATGCTTTCCCATTTCCTTCGCCAACCTGTTTAGTTTGATTTTAACATGACACATTGACTCTGTAATTAGAATATTAAACCTACATATGTCGACCGTGTGTTCTAAAAACGTAAACAACCCCTATGGCGTGTCATGTGTACCAAAGATTTTGTATGTCGGCCTCGTATACATAAAGTACATTCAGGAAGAACATACCTAAAACTAAAGGCATAAAAGCTCAAGTAGAACGAAATAAGAACTCTGATTATCTTGACTTTCTCTAAGCTTGACGCTAGCTGCATGCTAATTGCTAAACTATGAAATCATTGGATAGCCACCATAAACTAGAGAATCTGATGTAAGGCCACCTTGCAACTAATTCAGAAGAAACATATCTGTCGTCTTGTCGATCAAGGAAAAGAATCAAATTCACAACATGCCATCTCAAAAGGAGGAATTGAGAATTTTAGACTTTGGTGAGATCAAATGTTCAAGACAGTTATCTTATTGCTTATATGTCGAGATTTCCCTATCAGTAGGTATCAGCAATAACATGTTATATATTCATCTAAATGCTCTCCGATAGATTATGTTGAAATGTTGTACATTTATCTTAATAAAACAGATCTCCATATTACAGGCAGTGGTTAACAGTTTAGAAACTATGCAGTTAGATGATGAAACGCAAGATTAAACAACTCGATCTTCTCACTTCATCTGATTATTTAGCTAATTCGGCAGCCTCTGCTGTTTAGATTTCTCTCGGGCACTGAGAAGTTAGGCAAAAAGCTTCAAATCAATCAAGACAGCAAAAGTAAAATCAAACAATCAATCAATTACATAAGATACAGTAATTTAATATTGTTCGATTCAATCGACCTACATTCATAGATGATAAAAAAGATCCATTAGTTGTAGATAATTACAAACATACATCAAATCAAATCAACCACTCAATATCAATATGCATTTACCCTCTTAACCTCCCTAGTCATATGAAGTATTCTTAACCTAAACAAACATATACTTATGTACAACAATGCACCATATCTATGTAGACCTTCTCACTTTCTTTTAGTCCACTAATAAATATTTAAACATATACATTCATAAGACATAAATCTCCAGTACTCCTATGGGGTGTCTATCTCATAAAACCTTATATCTTTCTTACATCTTTTTCTCACACTTAACTCTATAAAGACTCTATCTATTTATAAGCATACTAACTTGCTTATTAATAATTCATTTCCTCTTAAAATTCTTCTTTTGTAAGTTTTCTTGTATATCAAGCAGTATCTAATTAATCTCAAACAAATCATATATGAGATTTGAGTCACTATTCTTAACAATCTTCATCTTGACTCAAATTCTATCAAATATCTATTTTTATGCTAGACATGCTTAGCTTCATCTGCAATGGAAGTCTTACAATTTTTTTTTGTGTCTTCACACTTTATGCAAATCAATCTTCAAAACACGAACTTGAACTTCTTTCTTGAGTCGAGCTCTTCTAGATTTGCTTCTTTTCATGCCTCAATCCTTCAACTATTCCCACATCTTGAACCTTCAGCTCTGATATCACTTGTTAGGCTAAAAGCCCTAATTTAATCATACCAATGGAAGCATAATCAAATAATCAATCAATTACACAAAAAATAATAATTTAATATGTTCGATCCAATCAACCTACATTCATGGATAATAAAAAAATCCATTAGTTGTATAGAATTATAAACATACATCAAATCAAATCAATCACTCAACAATCAATACCCTTAGACCCTCTCAATTTTTTGTAATCCTATAAAGTATTCTCAACCTAAACAAACATATATCTATATGTATCCATGTACCATATCTATTTGGACCATTTCACTCTCTTTTAGTCCACTTACAAATATTTAAATATATACCTATAAGATGTAAATCTCTATTTTCATGCTAGACATGCTTGGCTCCATCTGTAATAGAAAGTCTCACAATCTTCTTTTGTGTGTCTTCACGCTTTATGCAAATCAATCTTCAAAACACGAACTTAAACTTCTTTCTTGATTCGAGCTCTTCTAGATTTGCCTCTTTTCATGCCTCAAACCTTCAACTATTCCACGTCTTGAACCTTCAACTCTGATATCATTTGTTAGGCTAAAAGCCTTAATTTAATCATACCAATGGAAGCATAATCAAATAATCAATCAATTACACAAAAAACATCAATTTAATATGGTTCGATCCAATCAACCTATATTCATGGATAATAAAAAAGATCCATTAGTTGTATAGAATTACAAATATATATCAAATCAAATCAATCAATCACTTAACAATCAATACCCATAGACCTTTTAATTTTTGTAGTCCTTACAAAGTATTTTCAACCTAAGCAAACATATATCTATGTGTATCCATGTACCATATCTATTTGGATCATCTCACTCTTTTTTAGTCCACTTACAAATATTTAAATATATACCTATAAGATGTAAATCTCTAGTACTCCTATGGGATATCTATCCATAAAATCCTACAACTGTCTTACATCTTTTTTGCATACCTAATTCTATAGAGACTTTATTTATTTATAAGTATACAAACTTGCCTATTAAAATTTTTTTTTCTTACAATTTTTTTCTGTAAGTTTTCTTGTCCATCAAGTAATATCTGATCAATCTCAAATAAATCACATATGAGATTTGAGTCACTATTCTCAACATAAGATACATACAGTTTGAGCTGCAAAAACAAAAAGAACAACCTAAATCAACAATAAATAAAAAATGTTTTATCACATATGAGATTTGAATCACTATTTTCCACATAAGATACATACGGTTTAAGCTACAAGAACAAAAATGACAACCTAGATCAACAATAAATGTAGAGCTCAAACTATTTGTAAACAAAATAAGGACATCAAGCCTAAGGTCTGATGTATGCAACTCTTCTTTCGGGACCTAAGAGTATGTCGTATCAATGGAGAATTCTAAGAATCCATTTTTTTTTTTTCGGATTAGTCAAAAAATGACTCATTGGGATAGATGTAGTTAAATAATACTCCCTAGAATCGTATAAAAAGTTTTCTCATCATATGACTTTAGAAAACAAATGATTAAAAGTTATGTCTATGAATGAAATTATAATATATGTTAGAATGTAGTCATTTGTGGATCATTTGAATAAATGCAAGAATTTGTGGAATGGGGGTATTTTATTCAAATTCTAGATTTTTGACACCGATTAAACTAATCACACAATATTCATAATTTTTTTTATCTTTTTTTGTTCAATTCAAGATATAGTAACTGATTCCATAGATCTATGTAGTTCCAGTTTTATGACTCAAGTGTAGAGATCACCAAAAAATGCCTACTCAATGATTAAAAAAAACATGATTATTCAAAATAAGGCTCGTCTATGTAGTTACAGTTTATCACTCAAGTGTAGAGATCACCAAAAAAATGTCTATTCAGTGGTTAAAAAAAAACATGATTATTCAAAATAAGGCTCAGTATTGGACAAAATACATCCCTCTTTTAGGCACAATTAATGTGATACATAGGCTTCATTAAAAACCAAGATCCGAAATCCAAAATAATCATATCAAAACCCCTAAAAGTGTAATTCTTTGATTGATTTATATATATATATATATATATATATTACATCTGATAATTTTTATATTTATGTAGTATAAAATATTAAAATTTATTTATTGATTGCATATTACAATTCACATCAATATGAAAATTTAAAATACATTTTTTTATTTTATTAAATTTATATATAATTATTGTTAAAATTTTAAATTGTGTTACTTTCGTATTTTATTTATGTTGTGCCACGTGTTTTAAATTATTAGATCTAATATATATATATATATATGTGTGTGTGTGTGTATATAAGGTTTGGTTCGGCAATTCATAACTATATTTATGCTTTTTAAAAGTGAATCCAAACTTACAATTCAAGAATCTACAGTTTTAAATTAAAACCACTATAGTAGAAAAGGAAAAAAAGCAATTTCATTGGGCTGGCAATCTATCCACAATTATAGCAGTGACTTGCACATTATATAGAATGCTCTATCCACAAATGGATACTGGATATAAAAAAAATGCAAGAAAGGAATAAAATTACCTTGAAGTCAGTCAAATCAGAAACTACATAGTCTGCCAACTTCTCCTGCATCAGAACAAATCCACCCGCAGTATACATTTCAGCTATACTCCAAACAGAAAGTAGAACGAAGTTCACTGGTTCAAGGGTTTAGCAGATCAAAGAAGCAGAAACGAGCAGGGAAGGTTTTCAGAGACTGATCCAGTAGGCCCAGGAAAATTTGGGCTGAAAGTTTTTGAGCTTAAAGAAAGCTAGGCTTTGAACCTAAGAAGCCCAAATTCTCTAGACTCATTATTAATTTCTAATTTTCAAAATAAAAGAAATGGTAGGATTCTATTTCTACCCCATTTTTTAGTACCCAAAACCACTTCCTTTTATATTTCAAACATTTACTAATTTAGTATTTATTATAAATTAAAATTTCATTTATTTTTAAAATTTTTTAAATTAAAAATGATTAAAACATTACGATTTTAAAAAAATTTTAATTTTAATATATAATAAACTATTTTTCATTTTTTGTCAATGTAAATATATAAAACTAAAAAAAAAAAATTTTAACCAGTATGAGTACAATATTGATTAAGATGATAATTAAAAAATTGTACTTAATATATTATTTTTTAATTTTAAAAAATATACAGTAAATACAAAAAATTTTGTTTAAATATTTTTTACAAATAAAATTAATAAAAAATAATTTTAAAATTTAAATTTTATATCTAAATCATTTTTTAATAATAATTATATAAATCTACCGAAGTCAAACTAAAAATACCATCACGCTTAAAAACAAAAAGAAAACAGTGGTAGCACGCTATGCCGACAACGTCAACCATGCTACAGCCTGGTCTATCAAGGCTCTAATAATTTTTTTTTTGATCAAATGATGTGGTAATCAACAAAGCAAAAGTCACATCATTTAATTGTTAAAAGAAAAGCATGCTTTTAAAGTACAAAAAATATCTATTTAAAATCCTACCACTACAAATTTTTTAAAGTGATGGGACACACGTGTACTCAAGATCAATTCGAAGCAGAAACCAACTATAAAATAACACTGCATATTTAACATACATTTTGCACCAAAAGCTTGAAGGAATTATACGAGTTTGTTTTGATTTGTCTAATATTAATTTTTAATTATAATTAAATTGTATTTAATTAGTTAGTAAATACTCGCATGTATGGTTGATTAAGTTTATGGTTAACTGTATTTAATTAGGGTTGTACTTTTTTGTATTCAAATCAAAATAAATAGTAAATAACTTTTTTTTATGTAGTAAATTTAATTTTATCATCTTAAATTTAGAATTTCGAATTAATTGCTAAGAAAGTGTTTACGTGAGACCATTTTGTAAATATTACAATAAACAAGAAAAATATTGCAGATTTGGACAATAATGCACTAGTACTAGTATTTAACTCTGTCGCTATCTCTCTTCTGTTCATCTCGTGTCAAATCGATTCTATCTGTCCTCCAACTCAAAGCATGAGGTATGAACAACAGTAGAACAAAACACAATCTGGTCAACAATGTACCAATGGTAGTTTGCTCAGATTAAAAGCGGACAGAACAGACAACACATTTCCTATCAAACTTTTCATTATCAATTTTACTTTTTTGGTATTTAAAAAATATAAAATTTTAATTTTGATCCTTCAAATTAAAATTTCAATACTATACTAATAAATCACACTGTTATTAATTTTATAATCATTTTTACCTATCAAAGAGAAAAAGCTCAAAGAATCTCACTAGACAGAAGATTTTTAGTTGTGGGGATGGCCAAAATGATGGCGAAGGAACCCTCAAATAAAAATTAAGCTACAGGCATTGCATATAGATAATTGATATTCCTCATAAACCGTACAGGCATTTGTTTGCCCATATCTTCTTCTACGATTTTCTTACTCCTAGAAAGAATATACTGAATGTATGTTATTTGTAGAGTAGAAGTAAAGTTTTTGATTTGAAATACTGTCATTGTACTCTTAACAAAAAGGCGTTTCGTGCCATTTAACAAATATAAATGTAAAAAATGGAGTAATAATTAAGCTACAAGGTATATATAGGCTTATAATCAGGAACACTAAGTGCCGATCATAGTACCATTGGCTTGGGATTTGGGGGGGGGGGCTTGGCTTTCCTTCCTTAGGGATTGCGGTTGATTGGTGCCTGAATGGGGGGGGGGGGGGGTGAAAGGAGTTGGTTGGTTCGAGGGATTGGCGCAAACGTCATGGAGCTAGATTCCATAGGGCATTTACAGTCATGACATTTGGGACCCATTTCTGACATGAGAGAGACTTGGAGGAGCCAAGAGTCACAGCAGCTTTTTGGTCTGTGTCTTTACCACCCTGAACTAGAAAAGAGGAAAGGGACGAGCGTTATCTCCTCCTCCACATGTTATAGTCTCCAGGGCTAAGCATGCCAGAGAGGTTCCACTCAACTGCAGCGTGAAAACTGCTTAGGCTTTTTAATAAGTTGATAATCATCAATTGCAGTGATGACTGCTTTCATATTTTGGTATTTTGTAGTTGAAACTCGAGAGAATTGCCATTCAATTTTGTTAGCTATAGGTCAGGATCTACCTTTTTTTTGCCAACCACATGGGCTAATGGGCGGTCATCAGAAAGAGGAAAAAGAAAAGTGAAAGGAAAGAGAAAAAAGATTGGACCAAAGACAAAGAGGTTTTTTGGTTGGCAGGGCATGCTTTCTTAAATGGAAAACTGCTTTGGCCAGTCATTTTGCATTTTACATTCAATCGCCTCCGGTTTTGAATTCAAACCGGTGATTGTCCAAATGGGATTGACAAGGGAGTGGATTAGCCATTAATTTTTTTAGATATTCGAAATTCGTTTAATATTTATAATATTTAAATTTATTTTAATATTTATTTAAATTTGATATCATTATTCAAATTTTAATTCTTTTAAATAAATACTATTCCTTTGAATATCTAAATGCGTTAAAATATATATTTATTTTAATTTTTATCAAAATATAAAATAAATAAAATTTAAATTTACTCTTAATTAATAATAAATAAATAAATATTTTTTAAGGTCCAAAATCTTCTATAAGCTTAAAATTATATATATTTTATATATAAAAACAGATAACAGATTTAAATATTTATTACTATTTATTAAATTTTAAATAAATTTAGATATCAAATATTTAAAATATGCTATCCTTGTTTGTTTTGAACTCATGGATAATAAATTTTTTATCTAAATCTATTAATTATTCATTTATAATTATCCAAATTTAACATAAACAAATCAAATAATGATGGATAACTACTTATTAATTATCCATTATCATCTTTAGTCAAAAAATGAAAAGAAAGGAACTGTGTGGTAGGACTCGGAGGGATGTATCCAGCATCCAATATGGACATTGGGCAAGCCAGCCTTTTGCTGCTGCTCTTTGAATTTTCTAACAGGGTCCTCACTTCTCACCACAGCCAATTCCCTGGATTAAACAGGCACTCTAAAGCACATGCATTTGAGAAAAGACTTCTGCTTGATATGAAATCCTCCACTTACATTCTAGTAGATTAACCACTTGGAACAATAATTTTTTCTATATATAAATAAATTTTACAGCAGTCATTTGCTGATTGCCACTGTTGAAGCATATACTGATTACCATTTTTTTTTCTTCTAAAACAGTAGAAGAACAAAAGTTTTAACGCTGTTTTATTCATTCTCCAAGAATTTTGAAAGCTTTATGGTTTTAGGGACTTCATTGTTTTTACTGTCCAGTAAAGTACCATTGAAGAGTTGGAGCTTGATCAACTGAGAAGAAATTGCAAGATTCCTCTGCAGTAAACATACATTGCTCTTCCACTTTCACTGACTGGGGGTGATACATATTACCCAGAATCATTCTTGAGTCAAATGGTTGAAACCATTGATGATTTGATGAATCTGAAGATGAAGAAGATCCATTAAACTGAAAAGAAGAAGAAGAAGAGGGTGATATCAATAACTGAGCATTGACATTGATTTCTTCTTTAACGATTCCATTGGAATTATCAGCATCGTCACAGAAATCATGGCCTTTGGTCTGCTGTGAAAATTTTGGAGAATCTTCTTTAACAGAGTGGCTGCTTTCTGAATTCTCTTCCTTGAGCTTAGCTTTTAGCTCTCTCAACTGCAATTCAGCATCCAAAATCACATTAACCTTCAAGAATTTTAACTTTTAATTACTGCAATCAAATGGGATTTTAACCGATAAACCATACCTCTGCTGTTAAAGTTTCGTTTTCTTGTTCAAGATTATTATAGTCGAGCTTAAGAGCATCATAACTGGCTTTAAGGATTGCATAGTCTTTTTCCAACTGCTTAGTTTTCCAACGGGCACGGCGATTTTGGTACCAAACAGCAACTTGCCTTGGCTGCAGGCCTAATTCTCCTGCTAATTTCACCTTTCTCTCAGGTTCTAGCTTGTTTTCCACCTCGAAATACTTTTCCAAGGCCTTAACCTGTTCTATAGACAATCGCCTTTTCTTCTCTGTAGCTTGACCAGCTTCTTCTAAGCTGTCTTCCTTCTCTAAACCATCCAACATAGCCTGGAATTCCCTGCTGTAAAATTGCTTGTTCTTTGAATTCTTCTCCTCTATATAATCAACAAATTTAACTCATTAACATGATCAGCTGCAGAAATATATACTGCAGAATTTTCTTTACTAAATTATTTGGTTACTGGGAAAATCAAGGTATACTAAGAAAAGGAAAATAAATATAGAATTTTTAAGTCTAACCCAACAAAAATGGGTTCTGAAGTAAAAAGAAGAAACGGATGTTTCTAAATTATGATGTAGACTGTAGAGTAATAATTGAATTTCCTGTACCTTTGGGTGGAGAGATGGAAATCAAAGCATCCTGATCCAGGGAACCTGAGGAACTGAGCCGCTTCATGATTTAACCAAAAGCAAGAACCTCAGCCGATCCTTTTTTCATATACTGTTTTCTGCTGCTGAAGGAGGGTTCAAACTTTCAAGCAGGTTTGCTGTTTTGCTCTCTCAGTTTGGAAAGGCCATCAATCCAAAGAATACTATATATTGTGCCATTAAAAGATGATAAGAATTGAAAAAGTGTTAATTTGTACAAAAGAGAGAAAGGTTTCTTTCTTTTAATGCTCCTCACTCCTTACCTTCAAGTACTTGGAAGAAATTAAGAATGAAGCAAAGTCATTGGTCTGCCAAGAATTAGAGAATTAAAGGCAACAAGTTTCAAAATAAAAAGAAAACCCCTTTCTTATGAAAGTTCACTACAGCATTAAAAGACAGGGAAAGATCTCTGAAAGGATCCTGCTTCACTGGGAGCTGTTATATAAAGACTTTAAGCCTTTAACTGATGTGAACTGGTGAAGTTATTTGAAATTTGACATCTAGCTGTAATTTTTCAACTTTTTTTTCTAATAAAAATTGTCAAATTCACTTTTGTTATGGTCCGTTTTATCTATAATTGGCTATAAACTTATTTGATGAGCAATTATAATAAGATAATATAATAATTAATGAACTGAACTTGGTGAGTTTATTCATTTTCATATAGTTTTTCTTTTTGCTTTTTTTAACTATTTCTTGGCAAAAATAAGTTCAAGCACACTAATGAGATTAATCTTGTGCTCTTATTAGGGTTGTTGATATTTGCTATAAACAAAGAAAATCTAAATTCAGTTGTTTGGTCTGATTTATTTTATTTAAATTAAAAAAAAATCGTTTTGGTTTGAAAATCAAGCCGAATTATTAAGTTTGGCTTCAATTTGATCTTCATTTTTGTAAAACAACAGCAATTCAAACTAAAACCTTGAGCTTTCCTTGTCTTTACAATTTTTAAGAGCTTACCATTGTGACCAAGCCATATATCTATAGAAAATGTTGTCATTTGGCCACATCCAAAAAATGAATTAAATCATTGTGAGTATTTCTATTTTATCATATGATCCTTCTCGAGAAAAAAAAAATACAGTTTGATACAAAACTGCCTAACCCAAAATATGGAGGCAACACAGCTTTTTCCATCATTTCTATTTTGGATAATGATCTCAATATTGGTTTCAATATGCACTTGTCTCGTGTTAATCTTATAATAATCTCATTTTTTTAAGCATGTGACATAATAATCATATAAACATCAACAATAAGGGATGGACCAATGGTGATAGGATCTATAGAAACACATCTACTTCAAGAAAAGAAGAGGATAAGGAAAATATATACTTTTAAGCTCTGTTTATTTTGCAGAAAATAATTTTTAAAAACTAATTTTTGAAAAATATTTATATTTTTTTAATTGAAAGAGATTTTTTATTGTTTGAATGAGTTAATGAAAAATATTTTCCTTTATTTGCTTTTTTTTGGAAAATATGTTTTTTAAATAATATTAATATAACTATTAAAATATTAAAAATTATTTATTATTAAAATATATTAAATGAATAATTATATTTTAATAATAATATTTAATATTAAAATATTATGTTAATATAAAAAATACTTAAAATAAAATTATTTATTATTCTTTATATTATTTGTTAACATATTATAATATTGTTTATTAATAACATTTATTAATATATTATATTAATAGTATATTATTTATGAATAATATATTATTTATAAATATATTATTATAATATTTATTAATTAAATTAATAATATTTATTATATTATTTATTAATAATATATTATTTATTAATATATTGCAATATTATTTATTAATGCTAATATATTATTATAATATTTATTTATAAAAATATTTATGAATATAATATTATTTATTAATATATTATATTAATAGTATATTATTTATTCATATAATATTATTTATAAGTAAAATTATGTTAAAAATATTGATAAATAATTATATTCATAAATATTTTCTTTTTTTAAATTAGTATGATAATTTCTAAAAAGATAACCTCATTTTTTATTTATCAATAAATCATTTTTCATTGATTAATTAATTTTTTACGAAATAAATAATTAAAAATACAAAAATTATTTTTTAAAAATTATTTTTCACGCGAACGTTATTTATTAGTAATAATTTGGCTGATGACTTCTAATCTGAATTAATTTCCTTATTAATTGATTCTAAAGAGATTAGAGTCCTTAAGTTGGGCTCCCACCCTGAAACGTGTCAATGTCCCATTAGATATAGTTTCGGGAGTTTCCGCTGATATGCTGTACGGATGATACACCAATTTGCATGGCTTCTTTTTCTTTCTTTCCATAAAAAGAGTCCTGACCTTGGTGGCTTGTTCAAACATTGCGGCCTCATTTCATTGCTTTTGCTTGAACGTGTATTTGCACCTCCCTGGCCTACACCATGTTTGCACGATTGTTGTCTTTCTTGATTTGAGAAAACTGTTCTTCTTTTAATTTGTGAAAGATTTACTTTAATTGGAAGGTCATGATTTTTCATTTAGCTTGTAAGAAAAAACTTTCCATTGGGAAACTGTCGTGTTCTAACACAACTCCTCATAATTCCTAACAACTGCGTCGGATACTGTACTATTTTCCAACTTTTTTTCTATAAGTTAAAGGGTGTTAATCTTCTTTATTGATGAATGATGATCCATATCTCTTTAATTATGTGAGTCGATTTCAACATAAAAAACAAATTTCTGGAAATGCAGAACAGTGACATGGCACCAATGCAAGTTCTTTAGTCTTTATCCCTGCAACACTGATATTAGCCAATAACACCTAGCCAAAGCTCCCAAAAAATAAAAAGATGCATTATCACTTTATCAGTTGCTTGACCTGATCAAATTCAGTTCAAAAAAACACATAACAAAGCACTTTAGAATGGGAAAAGAAGATAACAAAAAAAGCTAATATAGTACTAAGATGCTATAGAAACTAATTTAAAGATGAGCAAAAGAAAATGATAATGGCAAAGCAATGCACTTTTAGCATCGGCTTCTCGACACTAGTCAATAACAGCTAATTGAGATTTTGATATCTGACAACTCTAAAAGACAAACACATTGATAATCCAACCTACAATTCATCTCACCGGTGCATCTCCACCACTCTTATCGGTCTTTTTACGCCTGATCATCAAGTCAATAAAAGTTGATCATTATACTCGTTAAGTCAGTACATACTTGATTATCATGTCAATCACTTAAAGAGATCGACACCCAGACCCCTTATTGCCACAAGTATGTCTCTATTCGAGTTGCTCGCCTGTTTGGAGCTCATTCCTTACATGAGTCGCTCGCCCTATTATCTCCATTAACGTCTCATTAGTTAATTATTTTACGATAAGTCAACTAGTTCGGGATCGTTGAAAGCCACTAACTCATAATTTAAGTGGATTTTCTCCAATTTCAAATGAACTTTCTATCAAATGTCAATTGTTGACATTTATTCACCAATTATGTCTCATATGTAAAATAAATGAGATCTAAGTACACTATTATGAACTTTCTTCCCTAAGCTTCCTCCATTGTTCTATGCAACTCTCCTTCCTTTTCTTAATCCTAACCTCCTACATCTTGGTGACTTCAACGTCGAAACGCACTCCAAAAATAAAATTTCCACTCCCTTTAACCGTACTTTTTTTTAAAATTACAAATTCACTTCACTTTCATCTCATCATCCAAGTGAGCTCCAGTTCACAATCCAAAATACCATCAACAAATCTATAAAGATTAAAGCTGAACAATTTAGTTAAAGACAGGACGTGGTGAATATATTTCTTAGGATCTAATTGATTCTTGGGATATCCAATTATAAGCCAAAAAAATAACTATAGGATAAAAAACTTTGTGTGAGTACATGTCACTTTATTTTAGCTTCAAGGGGATCATTGCAATGCCAAGATCTACGCAGTTGCAGTCCAAATCTCAATTGAAGATCACTCCACACCAATGTAGGAAGTATTTTCACATGGCTTTTGTAGGAACTTGTGATATCAGTACGTTTTGAAAGGGAGCTTGTTGAGTATTGGGTGGGATGTCCAAGTCAAAAATGATGGCTAACAAACATCCTTGCATGTAACATCTATGATTTCTAATTCTAGAAGGAAAGTGATGAATGCTTCAGTTTCGTGTAGGTCACAAACCCTTTTAAAAAAAGGGCATTTTTGAGTCTAATGTAAAAAAGGGTAAGAAAGGATAAGCATAAGAATGAAGTAGAAATAAAAGGGTTAATGGGGATAAGGATTTGAAAAGAAGGGTTCTGGTCGGTAGGGTTACTGGCTTACTGCATTACTTGGGTAGTTCAATTGTACGTAGGCAAGTAGAAAAAGAGAGAAGTAGGTTTAGGACGAGATTTCGGAACCCTCGAGTAGGGTTGATAATCTACCATGTATTTAATGGGTTTCCACTTAACTTGACTTGATAAAGTTTTTTTTAATCAAATTTTAAATCAAATCAAATTAAACATTTTTGAAGAAAAATTACGGTTGAAATTTATACAAACGCATCTCAATCTGATATACATATATATATATATATGTATTTATTATTTATTTAAATTTATATTTATAAAATAATATTTTATATTAAATATAATATAAATAATATTTTAAATTAAAAACATTTATATTAAAAATTAATATTAAAAATTTTAATATTTTATTATATATTAAATTAAAATTATTAATATTAAATAATATTTTGAATTTAAAAATTATTTTAGATATATATAAATCAAATCAAATTCAAATACAAAAAATAATATTTTTATATCAAATGGAGTCAAAATTTGAAACGAGCAAAAGCCCATCTCATTGCCATCTATTCCCCGGAGGAAGAGAAGAGGGAGAGCAACTTGACTTCGTGCTCTCCAAACTAATCATATGATATAATAATAGTATAGGGAGGTGTTTTTGGGGATTGAGACCTAAATTTGCTTTTGAAGTATTTTCAAAAACATGTGTATAATTACGTGGGAAAGTGTCGTGGACATCGCAGAGTTCACACCTTTACAAATGCAAATTTTACAAAGGTCTTCTTTTCTCAAGTACTCTGCGTTACAACTGGAAAAGTTTCCTTATGGTATTTTTCTGTTGTATCTAAACTCTGAAATGCCATATTCTAGATCCCTTTTTTCACCCTGCTGTCTTATCATCAATGTGCATTTCAAAAAAGGATGGTGAAAGCTCACCTCAGCAGATCTTGCTCAATTTGTCCCAGTGAAACGTCAGAGAGCAACACAGGGTTACAGTTTTTGTAAAATCCTACAATTTCATTGTATATATAACTAAAACAATATTAGATTCGTTTTATATTTTTATATTTCACGTCATCTTTTTCTGGTAGAAACAACTGCTACATTTTTTGAAGAAAGCTAACATTAAGATATAAATGATATATTAATACTTATAAATTATTTAAATTTTATTAAAATAAAATTTAAATTTTATTCGATTATTATCAAGTTAAATTTAAACTCGAACTTAAGTAATTCGATCATCGATTGAATCGAATTTAAATATTCTTATACTTAATTCAAATTATTCATTGAGCATAATCAAATTTTTATATTTAAATATATTTTTATTATTTTAATAATAAATTTTGTTAAACTTGAATTCAAATTCGAATACAAATAATCGAACTTTTATTAAATATAAGAATCAAACTTATTTTTATATATTAATTAAACCTAATCAAGCAAACTCAAATAACTTGATTTTTATTTTGAGTCGATCTAAGTTAAAAAAATAAAATTCGATGAACTCAAACTTAAACTTAATACTATATTGATTCAAATTCGATCGATTATACTCTTAACTGACACAAGTAATAAGAGATAAATATTTTGGTGCATAAACATCGGGTTTAAATCCTTTCATAATTTATCGTAGTAAATAATTTATAAATTCAAAAAATTTATAGACAAATACTTAATAAATTCATAAATTTTAATTTAATTAACTGTTTATTTTGATCATGAAAATAGAATAACCACTCTTGCTCCTAAATTGTTATTTATTCATAAAACAAAAAAACACAACTGCTACATTTTGGCAAGCAAACCATCCGTTGGATAGGTGAGGGTGAGAAAAGTGGAAAGAGTAAATTGAGCTCCACCATTTCATGGGTTTAATTGATAACTCTTGGTAACCTTATCTAACTTCAGATTAACATATGATTGTCTACCACATCAAGACAACCGAGCTGCATTATTGGGCAAAAATATAGTTGACATCAACTGCAAATGCCTAACAGGATAATCGGCCAAATCACCGCAATTTTCAGCTCTAATTCGTTCGGTTATTGCAAAAATGTGAGATGAGAAACTCACTCACGCCACTCCATCTAGAGGTCGTATGGCTAAAGTAGTAGGCATGGCGCAAGGACGCAACCATACGGAGTTATGAGCCCTGAAAAGAAACAGGGTAAGTTTCGGTCCCAGAAAAAGGAAAAGAGAGTATAAAAGCGACAACCACCAATCAGGGTAGGGGGCCACTAGCCAATGAACATTTTCGTCGGCTTTGTTTCTCCTCTAATAGGCCTGCACATCAATTCTTTTCATGCTTGACAATTAACTCGGGACACATTGCAGGGGAGGGAACATATTACCTCAATTTCCTCTCTGGATTCACCCTTTTCTCCCTCTCTTCTCACCTTTTTCTATCAATCAACAAACAAATCACTTTCCAGTTTCCACCGCTCTTTCCTTTTAATTCTAATAAAGAATAATTTCATTAATAAAAATAGTATAGATCATATTCAGTAGCCAGTTAACAAAATTTACTTTGAATGGTATAGCAAGTCGATTGACAAAAAGAAGGAAAGAGTAGAAAGGTACATAAAAAGGTGAAAATCCCCAGAGGGGTGAAATTCCTTGTGAGGCAGCATTTCGATCAGCTACAAAATTTATACTGCTCTACGTGTTACCTGTAAATTAGATTTCTTTGATCTCAATCTCAGAAGCCGATGCAAGTAAAAGGACACCTCATTAAAATACAATCTTCTATATTTAATTGTAACACTAATCTTGTGCTGAAGGAAAAGGAGCACAGCAGGAGGAGATATCAATTCCAGCAACCTCCATGGCATTGCAGACCCATTCAGGGATGTCTCCTTTAGGAAACTACAGGATGACAAATTATCATAAGGTCCAAGAGCCATTTAGTACTTCGTAAATATTTGTATAAATGACCACCTAATAGAATATCAAATTAATCTAATAAATAACCATTTAATGGAATATCAAATTAATCTAGTCTTCCTGCTTTTCTCTGTAAATATATGTTGGAAAGCTTCACATAGCAAGGGTGCTAGCAGTTTATAACGGAGAACCATAAAATTCTTGTCAATCAAGCAGCTAGGAGAAATCGAGACAACAAATGAATGATAAAAATTGCACAATCACCATCGAAGTGTCAAAACATGAACACAAGTACCTGCCTGGATACCAGCTATTTCCCTTGGAAACTGAAGTCCCAAGGCTTGAAACTACAATTTTTAAACTAGCAAAGCATACCATGTTAAAGAGAAATAAAATGTCACCATGATAAAGGGGAAAAAGTTAATAAATATGATACTAAGCATTGAAATTTGAATAGTATAATGGTAAAAAAGATTGAAAACAAATTCGTTTTTCCTGCTGCTGTGTTATAGTGGACTAGCAAGATGGTAATTGCTATCAAGTCAAAAGAAGTTGGTGACATGCCAATTTATGTCTTGTACACTGGGTTATAATTTATAGATGCCATCATACTCAGATCAGCAATGAAGACAAGATATTATTTCATCACTTATAACTTTCAGAGGAACAAAAACCTCAAAATAATTTTAAATTTGATCCAACAGCTAACAAAAGAAGTAAGCACTAATGTTTTGGAAGAATGAAAGATTGAAGTAGATTAAACAACTAGACAAAATTAAAAGATGGAGGATGTGAAGCATAACTGGAAAACTCTTAACATTTTAGTAAAATCAATGGCAGGAGGAGAGAGAGAGAGAGATGCAAACCATTTTCTGCAAAAAGTTGCAGACAAACCTGCAAAAGAACATTAAGAACATTATATTAGCTTCTACCACATGAGAAATAAAATATGAAAGCCGGACAAAGCAAGAGGCAAACATACTCAGGAAACCTCCCCTGGACTATGGATGAGTGTAGATTTCTGCTAAGCTGCAATTGTAAAAGATTTACTCTCAATTACTTAAAAAAAAGAGTAAAAATGAAAGCAGAAAAGCTTAGAACATAGAAGCTTTAGTTGTACCTGCATCATGTAATATAAATTATGATATGACAAAAGCTGAGAACCCATAGCATCCTTCGTAACAAGAGAATGGATGTAGGCCCTCGTATAGTTCTTGCATACCTATACTTCGGTAAATAGAGTAATGCCAAGATATACCAAAAATGAAATTTATATATTAACAATGTTAAGCAAATGCGTCATTAAATGCATACCATACAAGCACATGCAGGATCAATAGGGCGAGTATCGTCAGACATTGCCCTGTTCTTGAGTTTCAGCAATCCCTGCAAAAAGTAATTGAATAATATCAGAACGCTAAATTTACAATTTAAATAAAAAAAATGGAGTGTAATTAACACCCTTTAGGATCACAATTCCTTTAGAACATGTGCCAGTAACTTGTTAACATTCATAATAGAAAGATCAATTCATAGGCAGGTAAACTTATAAGACCAAACTTTTAGCATGGCTATAGATGCAAATACAATGATGAATAGAACACATCAAGCACAATTCATATTAACACCTTCAACGAGAACAAACAAGTTATGCTAGAAGGCAAAGAGAAAGGATAGCCAACTTCTAGCTTAGTGCATGAACATCATTCATGTGTAAACCAAAGTACATGATACTACATGGTGAACAAGATTGAAAACATTAACTCTCAAAAACTTTCTAAACATATCACCTCTGGAACAAGGGCGGTGCCAAAACGAGCAGTTCGAGTAGGATAAACACAGTCATACATGTCAGCACCTAAGGCACTACAAACTACAATATCCAGTGGATACCCAACACCCTGAAATGTAGCAAGTACAAATATAATGATTTAGAGTAATCTAAATGGAGAAAAAAGGATATGTTCATCAGCATCTAAAGATGTAGATTACAATAATAAAACTCATTTGTACCATGACATATCGCGGTTTATCTTCAGGCAGTGCTGCAGTACACTGAGCAACAACACGCCAAAATGAATCTTTATCTTCGCCGCCTGCAAGACCACCAATAGCATAGCTGTCACACAAGTAAACTTAGTTAATTCAGCTTGTTGTTTACTGAATCTTTACACTGTTTAGCAAAAGGCTGGTTGTAAAGAAGATCTAATATTTATGAATGTTAACAACGGAAAGAGAGTTCAAAAAGAAACTGGCAGGTAAGTTGAGTGATTATAGGTGACTAAAAGCAATTAACCAGCAAAAATAAATCACAAAGAAACAACAAAGTACTGGCAGTCAAAATGGCAAGCAACTATTCTTTTATTACTTGCTTTGCAAATATACCATACAGGCTATCACAATAACAGGCAACTAGGTTATCCTATCTTTAACAGCATCTCTCTCAAGAATAATAATGCTAAGAACCAGAAAGATTTGGATATTGGAATTATAGGTCATGTTTAGTGCATAGGATGATGGATAGGATGGTATGATAATCATTCTATATTATGTTTGGTTTGTATCTAATTGAAAGGGATAAGATTATAAGAAGGATTATCATCCTTTTGGTATAAGACGATTCAATTCTTCCAAAGCGGAGAAGATTATTTTTAATCCATTCGATTAAACTTACATGTCTTATTATACCCTTAAAAATTACATCAATAATTTAAATTGTATAAACTTTGAGGAAGGATAATTTGACCAATAAATAAATTACCTTATCTTAATCCTTGCAACCATCAAACATAAGATATGATGACATTATTTAATTTAATCATATTCATAATACATCTTATCCTATCCTATCATAATCTTGTGTAACAAGCATGACCATATTTTCTTAAATAATCAGTCATTTTAAGTGCTAATAGTAAAATCAACCTTTTATTTTCTAGTCCCAGAAATTGACTTAGATATTGAAATGCAATGAGGAAAATTCTATGGCAACTTGCTAAAGTCTGAAATGTCAAGATCTAATCATCTACCATTAAAGATCTTCATAGGAAACATAACATGATTAGGACACTATTCATTGATATAGAATGCACGTACCCAGGTAAATTTCGATCCACCAACCCTCTAACACATATATCCCTGATAAAAACAAGTATCAGAAAAGGGAAAAAAGTTATTAGAAGTACTATTAGTAATTGAAAGGGGAGTTAAACACCATAAAATAGCAAGGTTGCAAGATGAAGATCAGAAATTCACCTTAGTACTGGATCTAAACCACCTTGTACAATACCAAACAAGTTCTGTTCATGTGGTCTTTTGTGAGCTGTCCATAAGATCAAGGCAGCAAAAAAAGACCTAACTCAATCAGAAATGCCAAAATCAGGAGAATGACAATATGACTTAATAAAAAACCACTACTGAAGGACAGAATCTAATTAAGAAAAAGGGAACACCAGAAAAAGAGCTATAGTTAGGCTCCATTTGTTTGACAGAAAATAATTTCTGGAAAATGATTTCTGAAAAATATTTACATTTTTTTAATTGAAATAGATTTTCTGTTGTTTGGAAGAATTAATGAAAAATATTTTCCATTGTTGGTTATTTTCTAAAAAAATTGTTATTTTTTAAAATAATATTAATAATAACTATTAAATTATTGAAAATTATTAATATTAAAAAATAATTATATTTTAATAATAATATTTAATATTAAAATATTATATTAATATAAAAATACTTAAAATAAAACTATTTATTATTTTTATATTATTTATTAATAATATATTATTTATTAATAATATTTATTATATTATTTATTAAAATAATATTATTTATTAATATATTATAATATTATTTATTAATATATTATAATATAATATTATTTATAAGAAAAATTATGCTCAAAAGTATTGATAAATAATTTTACTCATAGACAGCTCTTTTCTGAAAAATGTCTTATATTTTTCAAATTTGTAAGAGAATTTCCAAAAAAAAGACCTCATTTTCCATTGACCAATAAGTTATTTTTCGTTTATTAGCTAGTTTTCTACCAAACAAACACTTGAAAATGTGAAAATCATTTTCTGCGAAACAAACGGAACCTAAATGAGTGATGGAAAACTGAGGGATCTCAAGTGCATAAGGTAAAAGCCGATATTTAATAAATTAAAGGACATTCAACAATAACACTATGTTACCATCGTATGATTATAATATGTTGTCCAAGCACCTTCAAAAAAGCTTTTAAAGTGCAAGTACCCAAGCCTGACATAAGATAATTGACTCCAAGAAGCTTGGGGACAATCATACAAGGCAAAATGCATTTTAAAACTTAAAACATGGATCAATTGAACGTTTTTCTACCAAATGGTCAATCTATCCATGCAAGAACCATGAGTGACATTCAGTCTTAAGCACATTTACCAGCTATGCATCTGTCTATCCAACGAAGGGTACGATACATGGCCTCCTCAATTCGTGGACCAGTAATAATAGTTCTTACCACATCATCAAGAGCCATTATGATATCTGCTCCAATTCTATTCTGTATAATTGTTGAGAGAATATAAAGTTAAAATGGAATATTCAAAATATATGAAGACAATAAGCAAGAAAATTTCAGAAATTTATCCTACGTCTCCTGGTAAAAAGAGCAGGAGATCAGGATAAAAAAGTTAAATAGGTTTTGCTAGATCTTTATGCTGCTGACCATCACAAACTAGTAAACATAGAAGTAAAACTGTCATAGACATCATTGACTAACAGTAAGAAATCTGAGTAAATTACACTATCAAGCATTTAGGGGGAAGAGAAAAATTTTTACCACAATAAATAATGTTACAAATATAACACAAGTAAGCTAAAGAAAAGCACCTACTTGGATTTGAATAGATTCCTCTGGTGTTAGGAGCATTGGCTTCCCATCGACTGGAGACTGAGTTAGAAACATGAGACTTGGTTACAAGTAAAACAGCACAAAAGCAAGAAAAGGATTAACAAGAACGAAGTATGCTTGCAGTTAATAGTTGAGCAGATTATTATACAACAACTCTTTCATTACACAGACTTCAGAAATTTCATGAACACCAAAGAAAAAATAAGAATAACGATAACATTTACCTGAAATGTTACACCCTTTTCAGTGATGTCAGCTAAATGCAGCAGTGATACCTATAAAGTGATCAGCAAGAAAGATTGTCAAATTCAATAGCATATATATATATATATATATTATATCACTAAAACCTAAGATTATTGCGGATGAAAATCTTTAAAGAATGTGATGAGCCAAAATGATACACAGTTGAGATCATGACTTAATAGCGCGTAGTAACAATATTATCATGACTTAGAGAAACGAAAACTAGCAAACATCATAGTTTCTAAGCTTCTTATTCATTTTTTAAGATGCAAGTGCACAGAAGCCACAGAAACTGTACATATGCATGCACATAACGACAAGTACATGAAAATTTTAACAAAGGATAAACAATACAATGAACCAAAAATTTACAGAAAGACAGCACTGTGTTAAATCATAAGAAGACCATTTGAAAGCCTCCGGAATCAGTCAGCATTGCTCTAGGCCAGTTCATAAATTTGTGAAGACCACCCAATTCATCAATAAGCTCAGATGTAGGGCGAAGTGCCAGGTGATATGTATTCCCAAGAATTATTTGACAACCAATCTCCTCAAGCTGGTTAGTTGTCAAACCTTTTATTGTACCTGCAACAAAGAGGACCAACTATGTCTTCCAGTCATAAAATTTAATACATCAAAGGCACACAATTCAGTGAGTTGATGCATGCTTGAAAGTGTGTGAACATACACTTGCAACTACTGTAACGCCAAATTATTTGTAGCAAACACATGAATGCCAGTCAAAGTTGTTTTAGACTTTTAAGAAAGCAGTAAATGCAATAGAGAGGTAAAGAATAGAGTGCAGAGCAATCGTATTCAAGGAATACTTTTCTCATCTATACTGAAAGGTAAAAACACAACCTTGTAATTGAACTATCCATGCTCAATGTACCTTATATGGAAAGCAATACTGGATACTAATAATCACAACTAATCATCAGTAGATTCAAGTAGTAACAGATTCATTGACATCTTACTGTTTAAGAGTAAGACATATGAATCTTCTTGGTTTTAAAGATTATAAGAATTTATAAGCTGACAACAATAACAAAGAATTATTAAGGACATTGACCTGAGAACTCCCAATTAATATGTTCTGAATATCCTAAATATGCTAAGGATGTGTATAATATTAAAACCTCCGACCTTGCGTTCCCACAGGCATAAACAGAGGGGTCTCGCATACAAAGTGAGGGAGTGTTAGATGAGCCGCCCGAGCACGATTAAACCTCCCTAGAACCTATCAAACCGAAAACCAAATTTCCACATTAACAAACATCCAAAGCTTGCATTGACGAAATCAGCAAACAAGTTTAAAATTAGAACCATCAAGATTTAGCATAATAAAATTATCACGTCCACTAATTAAAATATCCACATAATCCAAGAACACAAGCAATAACCAGTAAGAACAATCCATTACCGAAAAAAGAAACATAACATAGTCAGAAAATTACAACCTCGTACAGTGGAAAAAACTTCCATTAAAAGTAAAAACAGTTACTATAAATCAGCATTTTCGACCAGTACTCTTCCTTTAATCTTTTACCATTATTTGACGAACGGAAGACAAAATAATATAAAATCTAACACTGAGAGGAGCCAGCGTAAACTCCATTTGTTAATTTAAGATAATTTTGGCTAAAAAAAATTATATATAAAAAAGAAATAAAAAATGCAACACACAAATTTAAAGTCCAACCTCAAAACGAAGCGCCATCCAATAATTTTCTCCTCTATTCCTTTAGCTGTATATGGATGAGCCTGAAACTTGCATATTAATAAAAAAATATTAAAAAAGTTAATTCCAAATATAAAGGGAATATGTATTTGTACGTATGTATGTATGTATGTACGTGTATATATATTCACCGTGGCTATTAACTGTTACTCTTCAGTTTTGCGATCTCAAAAGAGAAAGATTAAAAAAAGATTACCGTGCTATGCCGCGTAAGAATACTGTAAAAAGAAAGAATTAAAACTTACGAGATGGAGGACGAAAAGAAGGACGCTAATCGAACATAGGCGAGAAAAATGCGATTGGCGGCGGATAAAATGCCCTAGTATGGGAAGAAATGAATTTCTCTTAAGTGGCGGTGGCAAGCGGTCTTTTCCTTTGTTTTTCTTTTTATTGACTTTGACTCCTGACTCCGATTTACACGGCACATCATGCGGAAGAATGAACTTACAACTCCAAGTTACAAGGGCCCTTTTTTGATGGACACGTGACACGTCAATAGATTGGTCATTTTCAATTGGGCTCAATATTTGTCATTTGGGCCTTGTAAGGTCCACAGAAGTAAACAGGCCGGTCAGAACTCAATGTTGTGAACTTGGCAGCTTGAGAATGCCGATTGGGTTTGTAGTTCAAAAAGTCCTTCAAATTATGTTTCCGCCCTTCATTCAAGTAAGGTACTATAGCAAAAAGAAAAGGCGGATAATATTTTATTTTGGACATTATAATATTTTTTTTATTTGAGATTGTTAGTATTCTATAGTTATTTAAATTTTGATTCATTCAAAATTTAATCGGACTGAATCTTATAAAAAAATCAAACTCTTTCAAACTCATTTTTTTATTTATAAAATTTAAAATTAAAACTTTACTTAAAAAAAGTCAAATTTTTTGTCACTCAAATTAATATGCATTGATGAATATTATAATAATTGAATTTGAATTTATGACTATTCAAATTAAAATAAAAAAAATTTGAAGAAAATTTTGGTATAATATATGGAGGAATATTATCTCCTCAAATTTCTTTAAGTTGTTTATTACCCTTTTTAATAAAAATTTAATTGTTTTTGATATAATATAAAAATATAATTTTTTTGGTATTTAAATTTATTAAATTCTAATTATTAAAATAAAAAATACAATATTTTATTAAGAAATCATACATTAAATCAATTTTGCATATAAAATTATCAACAATTATTTAAATTCACTTTAAAATAAAATTATTTAATTTCCTATAAACATATTTAATTTGTTCCAACAACATGTTTGTTTTCACTTAGTTCAACATTATTTTCGCTTCACAAATTAATCATTAACTATACGCACTTTGCTTTACATATCAATTATCATAAATCACAGTTACATTTTTTGTGAGTTAAGGTCCAAATTTTTATTTTCACCTAAAAATATATCGAGTCATTGGAAAGTGACATGTGGCAAAAAAGGTAACTTGGCAGGAGGAAGTGACATGGAATTCGATAAATCGATGCATCTTATTAAACGACAGAATAGTGATATATCAGCCACTAAATTTTCGTTTATAAATAAATTCATTTAAGTGACGTGGCATTTTCACGAAGAGATAAATGATGCGGCAATCATGTCAGCCGAGAAAAGAGAATAAATCTAATTAATCGAAGTAGGCAACATAGTTTTTTTTTTTAATACTTAAAACTAGCTTTTTTAATCCGCACAATATATGAAATTTTTATTAAAATTTTCATAATTTTAAATTTATTATAAATTATTTATTTGACATATAATTATATAGTTATAAATGTTAAGTTATAATTAAATAATAATTTATACATAATATATTATAAATGATATTATTCATCTAAAAAAAGTATAAATTTTATAAATTTTCAATAATTATAAAATTTTTTTCTTTAATTAAAAAAATATTTTCTTCAATTTATTTGTTAAATACTAAAAATTTTGCTACCATTTTTTTCTTGTTTGATAAAAAGTCAAAAATTAATATTTAAATAATTAAAATTAATAATTATTTTTATCATAATGTCGATTTGGTGGTATATATATATATTTGATTGAATAATAAATCACAATTATTAATTTTGTTATAATCATTTACTTTTTATTAATTCTTATTTTTGACATACTTCAAATAATTATTACACAAATATATTAGACTAACAATTATTTTTATATATATCAATAAAATAAAGTTATTTTTTAGATAAAAGGAAAACAATAATTCTTTATGTTATGCTTAAAATTTTATTTTAAATATTTTTTTTATTTTTAATTATTTTTAACATAATTAATAGTATTTTTTGTGAGTTAGATATATAGTGATCATCGTTCTTCTTATATCATCAATTGTAAATAAAAAAATTTAATAATAAAAAATATAATAAAATAAAATAAAGAATATAAATTTATATATTAATTTGTCAATATTAAATATATACAATAATAAAAGTAAACATGTTAATAACTTAGTAGAGAATAAAAACATTGAAGAAATTAATAAAACAAAAAAATATATAATATAAAAAAGTTAATTATAATTAATCTAAGTAAAATTAAAAAATTTTATGGACTAAAGAAAAACAATTAAATTAACCAAATATATAATATAAAAATATTTGAATTAAAACATAAATAAACATTATATTTGTTTTCAAAGCAAAAATATATTTTTATTTAATTTTTTTATTAACATTCAAATGTCTTATATTTTCATGTAAAGATGTAAATTTTTATTACTTTAAAAATACGTGCTTTCTTGTCAATAATTTATTAATTTATTTAAAAATATTAAATTTAAATAATCTACTAATTTTCAATTTTTGATATATTATGATTTGAATTTAAATAATTTTTAAAAATTATCAAATTTAAATAATTTATTAAATAGAATTATTTGACGAAAAATAAATTTTATTAATTATATATATTTGAAACTGTTGTTAAAATAAAAAATTATATTTTAATATATTTGAATTTAAATTTTATATAAAATTTAAATATTATATAAATTTTGATTTCAATTTAAATAATTATTTAAAATATTCAACTTAAATGATTCATTAAAAATTTTTATTTGATAAATAAAATAATATAAATATTATCTAATATGTTATTAAAAGGGATTATTTATCTAAATATTTATATAAATAATTTTAATCATGTAATTTTGTGTGTTGTATATATTAGATGTATCAAATAAAATCATGTCAAAATCATTAGCAAAATAGAAAGATGAGATCACGGTCAGAAAATTTTTACTGCTTACCATTTCCATTTCAACTCTCAGTTATTTTGGACATTTACCGTGGCTTCGGTAAATTCAAGTCCATGCAAAGGGGCCACCCTCACCCTCTCATGATACAGACATGCAAGTAAAAAGTTATGATTTCTGAACGAAAGTTTCGTTCTTTAGATTCGATAGATATCCCTTCAGAGCGATTTATTAAACCCTAGCTTGATTCGCAATAGCCACCGCCACCGCCACCGCAATCAAAGCTCCCTTTTTATCCTCTCTGTTTAGGTTCGATCCACCTAATGCCTTTTTATCGACGGATAGTTCTTCTGTCAACGATTTATTACTTTGGCTGATTGATTGATTTATGTACAGAGGGGGAAGAGATTGAGTGATCTATAAAAATGCAGCACATTCCGACGACGGTCGAGGAACAGTTGTTTTTGAAAGCGATTAGGCAGGAATGCCCGTGGGAGAGTTTGCCCAAACGGCTTCAAGCCACTCTTAATTCTAAAGAAGAATGGCACAGAAGGTTAGTTTGGATTCTCTTCTGCTTACCTTTGTTTTACTTTTTAACTTAAGTTTGAAGGATCATTTAGCTTATAGCTTTGAAAAACTTAATTATTTAGGATCGGTTTGCCAAATGGAGCACATTGTAGATGTTAATTTTCTTCTTTGAATATAAATACTTACTTCATGCTTAATATATGATTGACGGATTAATTAATGTTATCACAAGGGAGTTCTGTGAAACAGTTTGATGAAATTAATTGGAAATTTGAACTGGCATTGCTCTTTTATAGCCATTGCAAGAAAGAACTTTGTGACTGATTGGACCTATAGATGCTTCTATTAGGTATTGAGGTTTGTCTTTGTCAAATAAGAATTTGGGCACGTATGATTTGGTTAAATGATTTGATAGATCATCCAGCATTCAGGTGTTACAGAATTTTTTTCCTAATGGTCATCTGTAATTGAGCATACTTCTTTTGTTTAGCCCTCTATTGTGAACGATATATGCTTCTTAGGTTTTGGGAAATGTTTCTGTCTGGTATTTCTTAGAATAAAGATAAATTGGTTTGGGATGCTAACATTTTTGAAACTATTTCATGATGTTAGCTTTGCAGACTATTGAATACAATGTTGTTTTCTGTATTCACTTGCTACTGCAAATTACATTTGATTTTCTCTGTTAAGCATGTGCATAATGGTTTTAAATTGTTTCTAAAAACATTCTTAGTTTTGGACCCAGGTTGAAACTGAAGTGCATTCTTATTTCTCTGGATTAGTCATTAGAATTAAATGCTCATCTCTTTGTTAGCTCCTGTGATTAGTTTTCTATTGCTTGATCTTACCCCTTCTTTTCTTTTTCTTTTTCTTTTTCTTATTATAACTTCATTTAGGATTATTGACCATTGTATCAAGAAAAGGCTCCAATGGAACACTTGTTTCGCTCACAAAGTATGCAAGGAAAGTGAATACTATGAGGAGATGATGCGTTATTTGCGAAAGAATCTAGCGGTGTGTGTTAAAGAAAGTTTTGGAGCTCTCCTTGTATTACCTTAGTATGATTTGTTCTATAATATGTTTTTAGACAAAAATTTGTTCTTATATGATCAAAGCTCTTGTTTCACAATGATAAACGAATATCTTTTCAACTCTATGTTTGGAACTTGAATAAAAATATATATATTTTTTCCTTTTGAAGTAGAAGCAGAACTATCATGGTAAGAAACTGCATTTAAGTGCATTGGTGGAATACCATCTACATGTAGAATGGCTTTCATAGCTTGACTGCTTGAATACATTCTCCGGTAAAAAGTATTTCCATCAGTTGCAGTTTGCGTACAAGATGTTGAGTGATTCTTCCCTTCCCTTGTCCCCCCCTGATACATTTCTAGTGGTTCTTTGCAGTTCACTTTTTGAATTTCTTAATTGCAGTTGTTCCCTTATCACCTTGCGGAGTATGTTTGCCGTGTGATGAGGGTGTCTCCTTTCCGATATTACTGTGATATGATATTTGAGGTTATGAAAAATGGTAATTGCTTCCTCCTTTTTGGTTTTAACATGTAACATTCTTTTTATGTAATGATATGATTGATGATGGAAAAAAGTTTTGGCCGATAAATCTGGCTGATTGATCTGCTGAGAAATCTCATATATTGCATTTGACATCTTGCTAGAGCTATACATATATGTATTTTACTTAAAAGATTTGCATTCATATTAAGTATATCATTGAATTATTGATTGAATTATTGAATCCCATTACGGAATTGCTAATTCTTAAATTATTCGAGATTGTTCTCGTTTAAAGTTGAATAAATATCTTTTTATCCTAAATAAATATATATACTACTACTGATTGGCAGGGGCTGGTATGTGATTAAGTGTTTCTGGGTGTATATAAGGGCTTAAATGCATCTATTTTTTCAGAATAGAAGTGTGAATTATGTGCACAAAGATTAATTGCCTGGGTGCTAAGGGGGCAAGATACAAGAAGATGTAACAATAAAACCATTATATATGAAGTAGATGAAAATTAAGAGATAGCGTGAACTGTTTGGTACAGATTTCTTGGTTGGTTGAAACTTAAAACTGTATGCTGATTGAAACAGTAGTGACCGAAATCTAGACATGAATCAGTTGCTAAACAAAAAATGGACACATCATGGAATTTAGCAAATGTAGTTTTCTCTTTCCTGCCCTTTTTTGCCTCTAATTCTTTTCCTGGTAGTAGTGGCTTTACGTTTGAGCGCATGGTTTGAGGGCTCTTTAAAGATTCCTGGTAGTCTCAGAGAAGGTTCTTCAACATTGTTGTTGGGTTCGACCGAGAATTTCACGTATCCAGTAAACATGCCTTCTTATTCTCATATCCCTTGTTCAACCAGTAATCCAGTTCCTTTCTGACTTAAGATGTTTCTTCTGTTGCTTCTAGTACCATATGTTCATTGCCTTATCAACATTTTAATATATGACAGTTCACATGTACACTTTTGCAATCTTTCTATAGTTTCTTTTTAAATTATATTCTATGTTATATTATTTGTCTCTAACTTCTCAATCTTGATTTCTCTAGTGTTTGGATTTACAATTACAATATACATTCAACTTGCTCTTATTGAGGTTTTATTGGATTAGTTGATCCATCTTATAGTATTGAATATTTACATTTAGTTTTGTACACAAATAAGCTTGTATTTATGCAGTTTAATGCAGCAGTGACCTTTCACCAATCGTTACTGCTTTATGAATCAGTGTTGGTTTCATATGTTGATAGGTACTGACCATTCCCAGGCATTTCTTGTTGTTGACAGAGCAACCTTATGACAGCATCCCAAATTTCAGTGCTGCTGATGCCTTGAGACTTACGGGAATTGGAAGAAATGAATTTATTGATATCATGAATAAGTGCAGGTCTAAGGTACTCGATCAGAATTTTGCTTACAGATTAATGTGTCCAACTATGTGCTGGTGAGCAACATAGTGGTTGCTTGTGCTTGTCCTTGCTCCTTTATCATATGCCTGCACAAGTGATCCAAGCCATATGCATGCACTCATACACTGATTAGCACTCATCATCATGCTTGGTAACACGGCAGTTGTAACTTGAATTGTTCTTTTATCCTTCTGTTTGTTGCCCAATTGGCAAATTTGCAAAATAAATGTTTTTTTGTGCTGCATTGTTTCATTACCTTGATGGTAAAAGCAATACTAGACTGGAGGACAGAATTTGAACTTCTTACTTGGACAATTATATGTTCATTACTCTTTATTTGAGAACTACAGAGGCAATAATAATATTATTTTAAGCATTGACTTTCTGCCTGATGTAGTACAGATTAGGGTTATTTTGCAAACTGGCTAAGCTCTAATAGTTCACCTTAGAACCATTGGGTGCAGATATGTTTGCTAAACTTTTCATTATATTGGTCATGTTCAGTGAAACGAGTCTAATTGGGTAAATAATTTAAGTTGCTTGTGTTTACCCTGTAAACTTCTGATGGCATCATTTGTCCTGCATCATGCAAACTTGATTATATTTATAAATCCAATATAACACTGTTGTTATCATCTTACCTATTGTTTACTTATCTGGAGCTATCCAGAAAATTATGTGGAAGCTGAACAAGTCGATTGCAAAAGAGTTGTTACCTACCCAACCTGTGGACTTTCCCATTGAACCTTGGTGGGGAGTCTGCCTTGTTAACTTTACCCTAGAAGAGTTTAAGGTGAGGTTTATGATGGTCCTTTGTCTTATTATCTAAAGAGTGTCATCAGATTATCTTGATATCATGCCCTGTTCAGATACCTGTACTTGTCTTTGTTGGTCGAATCTGCATCTTCACATTTCTTTGTTGCTTTTATAGAAACTTTCAGAAGAAGAAATGGCAACAATAGATAAAATCTGCAAGGAAGAAGCTAATGCATTTATCCTGTTTGATCCTGACGTTATAAAAGGTCTTTATCAACGAGGATTGGTCTATTTTGAAGTCCCTGTCTATCCAGTTGACAGGTTTAAAGGTTAGCTGTTTGCTTTCAGAATTTCTGCCAAAGTAGAATCTCTGCATTTATCCATCTTCACCTCTTCATTAAAATAATTAATTTTCAAGTGCTTTAGGTTGCAAGGGCAAAAAGTAGACTTACTCTTTTGCTAATTACCTTTTGCAATTCGAAGAATTTTCTTCCTCTGTCCCAAAAAAGCATCTTCTCTTCTTTGAAACTGCACTTGGTTTTGGAAGATGGGCTTAATGCTGTTGCTTCTTGCCTTTATAGTTTATGATTAATGCTTTGACTACTCCATTTTCCAATTTTGTTCCACAAATTTACCTTTGACATTAAAATCCTCTGGTATCTTTGCGAGTGTTAGCTGATGGCAATTTAAAAACTAAAATATACTCAGCACTCTGACTTTTGTTGATTGATTAACCTTATTGAAAAGTAAAATCCTAGTTAGCTTTCATATGAAAAAATTCTGCAGTTGTCCCTTCTGTTTGTGTTTTTTAGCGTTACTTCACCAGAGACCTTGCTTGTGAAGTAAATAATTGCAACGACAGTCCAACCATTTGGGAGAGGAATAGTGAATCAACAGATTCCTATCCGGGAGTGAGTAATCTCTCCTGAATGCAGCATATAACTCTCAATTGTGCTTGGCTTTCCAAGTGTGCTTGTCCCCATTCCTCCATAATTCTGTCCATGGCAAGTATTTGTGAAAAAAGAAATAACTCCTATTGGAATAAAAAGAAGGAAGAAAATGGTGTTAAGAGACCCTCTTGGCCAACCCTAAACACTCTAAGATCCTTTCGAAACCTGCTCCCATTTCGAGTCAAGAGATAGATAAATAGACACATCCCATTGCACTGATCAGGGGTATTTGTAGGGACTGATGGGTTTGAAGGCCTATAAGTGGATTGTTTATCAGCCAAGCATTCGTCTTAGGGACCTACATGTTTTTTTCCCAAAAATTTTATGACATTGAAAAGATACTAATTAGTGATTACCCATGCTTTTTTTAATCTCTTTTTTCTTTAGGATGCTCTTTTTTAACTGTTTACTTGACTGCATGTTCTCTATTGTTCACTCTTATGGATTTCATGGTTGAATTATATTAGAATTTTGATTCTGCTTCCTTCTGCCTAAATTTGTTTTGAATTTGGTGATGGAACGGCAAGATACCTGACCGCCTCTGCTTGAGTCTTCTTTGGATTTCTGAATGGAGTTATTAATACTATTGTAGTTCAGTTTCTAGGCTTGAAGGGTTCATTTCTAACAAGGAGCAGTCTTATGAGGATCCTATTGAGGAGTAAGTTATTCTTTAATCTTTTGGTCATTTCAACATTGTGTAGTAGCAAAGTGTAACTTGGAATTGTAATGCTAGTAACTGCACTATTCAGGTTGTTATATGCAGTTTTTGTTGTTTCAAGTGAGAATGCAACTGTTGCTGAGCTGGCATCAACCTTACAAGCAGATCTTAATCAACTGCAGGCTGCTGCATCTTTTGTTTGTCGCTTGGGATGGGCAGTAAAAGTAATTGACCCTGCATCTGTGCTTCAAGAAAACAGAAGCATACCTCCTCATGGTGTCAGTCTTACAGATGAAGAAGATGCCTCTCACCGTAGTTCAACCTCAGCAAATATGTCCACTGATGGTGAGCCTGCTCAACAAGGAGATTTTTGGGTGACAGAAAACTATGGGCCTCGTTCTAGTGATGCTCGGGTTGCTTTTGTTGTTGATGCTAATATAACATCTTATCTCATGATGGGCTCTGTTTCACCAGGTTAGTTACCTTTTCTCCTTATCCTTTTGAATGTCTATTTTATGTGTCCTAGATATTGTTTTTCTGTTGGGCATCATAACCATTAATGCAAAATAAGAATGCACAAAATAAATTCATTTTAAACTTTTATTGAAAGTCAAAAGGTGTTTTTTACAAAAATTGTTCAGCCCAACTTCAGCTTTCTAGAGTAGAGAAGTTGCTCCAAGCTAGGCCAAGAGGATCTAACTTGTTATTCTATGGTGTTGGTATTATAAGGGAGGAACATAGACATATTCCAGTCATTGTAGTTTGCATGTGATGATGATTAGACAGGTTCCAGTATTGTGGATAATAATTTGTTATGGTTTTTTATTCATATCATCTGCATGTAGATGTACTTACTGTTTCCTCTTCTCTGACATAGTTTGTCTGTCCTCTTACTCGGTTTTTTGCAGGATTGAAATCTCATGCTGTGACATTATATGAAGCAGGGAAATTAGGTCATGCTAGCATTTCAGACCTTTGCAAAGACCTGAGCACATTAGAGGGAACAAAATTTGAGGGAGAGTTGCAGGAATTTGCAAATCATGCATTTAGTCTTCGCTGTGTCTTGGAGTGTCTTCTATCAGGTGGAGTTGCCACTGATACCAGAGCTGTGGAAATTGCTGATAGAATGGGAGGTTCAGCTTTAGGGTATGATGAGTCTATTCTGATAGCTGAGACCTCATTAACTGATGTATCCGAACAATCTGCTACTAATGAAACTGAAGAAAACATTAATGACACCAATAATTTAGAAATATTACAGGAAGATTCTATTGTGGATGGTGATAACAGATCTGCTGCCTTGTCAAAAGATGGTAATCTCTTAAGTGAGGTTTCCAAGTCAGATCTGAATGTCCAGAATGATGAGAAACTGATACAGATGGTAGGGCTTGACGTAGGAAAAGGAACTTCAAGGAGGAAAAAGAAATATCGAGTGGATATCCTCCGCTGTGAAAGCTTGGCTGCTCTGCCAAAGGCAACCTTAGATCGGTTGTTTCTTCGTGACTATGATATTATTGTGTCTATGGTTCCTCTTCCACATTCATCCGTTCTTCCTGGACCAACAGGTCCCATTCATTTTGGTCCTCCATCTCACTCATCAATGACACCTTGGATGAAATTGGTGCTATATTCAACAGTTGCTAGTGGCCCTTTATCGGTTGTTCTGATGAAAGGACAAAGTCTACGCATTTTGCCTGCACCATTAGCTGGTTGTGAGAAAGCCCTTATATGGTCTTGGGATGGTTCAACAGTTGGAGGCTTAGGTGGAAAGTTTGAGGGAAACTTAGTTAAGGGAAGTGTACTTTTACACTGTTTAAATTCGCTTCTTAAGTACTCTGCTGTTATAGTGCAGCCATTAAGCAGATATGACCTAGATGGTTCTGGAAAAGTTGTTACACTGGACATACCCTTACCCCTTAAGAACTCTGATGGCTCAGTTGCTCATGTAGGGAATGAGCTAGGACTATGTGCAGAGGAATGTTCGAAATTGAATGATCTATTAACTGATTTGGCTCACAAGATAGAGTTATGGACTGTTGGTTACATTCGCTTGTTGAAACTTTTTAAAGAAAGAGAATCAGATCATTTTGGCCCTGATGAGGAAAAGTATGAATGGGTTCCACTGAGTGTTGAATTTGGGATGCCACTTTTCCACCCTAAATTATGTGATAATATATGTGAAAGGATTGTCTCTTCGCAGTTACTTCAAGCAGATTCACTCACTGAGCATCATGATTCAATGCAAAGCATACGTAAAAGGTTGCGTGATGTTTGTGCAGAGTATCAAGCAACAGGTCCTGCAGCAAAACTTCTTTACCAAAAGGAGCAGCAAAAGGATCATTCAAAGGAGTCAAAGCAATCAAAGCTACTCATGAACTTTGCTAGTGGAAAGTGGAATCCACTGCTAGACCCTTCTTCTCCCATTTCTGGAGTATCTAGTGAGCATCAAAGATTAAAACTTGCCTGTCGACAGCGTTGTCGGACTGAAGTTTTGAGCTTTGATGGTAGCATTCTTAGGTCTGTAAATCAGTCTACTTAAAACATTTTTCTGCCTCTTAACATTGTCTTCTCATTGCAGTGTTTGGTTGTGTATTATTCATTCGAAGTGTTGAATGATATTTGCAGATCATATGCCCTTACTCCTGTATATGAAGCTGCCACAAGGCCTGTTGAAGATTCCACCCCAGTAACCACAACAAAAGTTGATCCTGATGAAACTGACAGCAAAGAAATAATCCTTCCTGGTGTTAACCTTCTTTTTGATGGTGCTGAGTTGCATCCCTTCGATATAGCTGCTTGTCTGCAGGCACGCCAACCAGTTTCCTTAATAGCAGAGGCAGCATCAGCCTCTACAGCTTTTGCAATTAATTAGGTCTTATAAATATGAGAAGTGCAGATAGAATATTTGTCCGGATACTGACAAAAGGAAGCTATTGTGTCCTGCATACTAAATTATTCTGCTACCTGGTTCATCTGCTTCATCTTTGAAGTCGTTCTATGGATGTGAGCTAGCAGTTACATCAAAGGTAAATACCAAGTGTTTTTCTGATAATATTACACTTATTTGTTTCATGGGTTTCATAAATTTAGGAATCTTTCCAATTATTTTGTATCATCAGTTACCATGAGAAGCCACTTACCTCCCTTGGGACTACCATTTGTGCCAAATGCAAAGAAGCTAATCAAGGGGTTAACTGTTACCTTGTTTTATCAATTGGATCCGGTGCTTATCATCTTTACTGGCATAAGTGCAGATGCTCTATATCTGTTGAAGGCTGGTTCTTCATTGCTGCGGGTTAGTACGTGTTCCGAAAGAAAAGGGAATACTTTTTGTGATTAGTAGGTTGAATACTGAAATGTTACCCTTTTCTTGTTGCTTATTAGTTGCGAGAAAATGTAGAAAGTCAATTTTGCACATGATACATATATAGGAAAGGGAAAGTTTTTTTTTTTTTTTGGCAAAATATAAACAGTTGTATCTTTCTGCTTAAGTTGCATAGAATTTCTATTCAAAAATTTTTGTGCTAAATTCTTGCATATGGAAGAGATGAATTTCACATCCAACATATTCAGAGGAAGTTGGTATGCATTTTTATGCTAGTCTCTCTCTCTGGTCATTTCATATTGATATGAAATTATGAATGCTTTCATGAGCTCTTAGGACTGCGGGTGAAAATGAAAGTTGGGTTATAGGGGATAAGCCATTTATGTATATATAAACTGTAATCAAGAGATGCTATGGGGTAAAACCATTACTTCAAATGTAAGCCACTTTTATCTTCAAAAATTAAAATTTCTGAATCTTTCCTTCTATATATATATAATATGAGAAATTATATAAAGATAGCTTTTATATGAGCATACCGATATTACAATTGATTAATCACAATTTACAAATCAGAATAGTGTAATTCATCAAAATTTTATATAAAGTTTACATTTATAAATATTAGGTTTTTTTTATTGTGATTGTACAATCATAACATTGTAATAAAAAGAATCATAGATAAAATGTAAAAAAAAAAAAAGCACAGTTTTCCATAAGTATATATTAATGAACCATTAAGATCCAAATTCTTTGTTTTTGGTCTTTCTTTATCGTCTCAAAATGAAAGTAAAATTTAAAGCAAAAAAAGTTAAAACGCTTGGGACTTGGGGTATGCGTACAGGGTCCAAATCCCATGCGCATGGTTCAGTCACTATGATTAGAAAGATACTTTGAAGTCTCAACCAAGAATATAGCTCCAATCCACATGAATAGTGAATTCAATGAATGATATTTTAAGAAGCTTGCGAAAAAAGAAAGATACAGTCGCATGAATAATTCCCTACCTCTACCTCCGTAGCCTCGCTCTTCCTTTGACGTGCCTTTGACGTGGGAGACCAGAAAGGGAGCAGTCCGCTTCCCCACAGCCTGACTCTTCGTTCACGTGGCAGACTAGAAAGAGGAGCATTCCCGCTTCCATGCCGTTCCCGAAACGGTAATCACTAATCACTAATCACTAATCGCTCCCAAAGATTTTCTTATTATTATTAGGTAAAAACTAAATGAATAGTCATCTGATTTTCATCGACTTTTTATTTTGATCGTTCAACTTCAGTTGCTTGAGTAAGTGTTTTTTTATCCAACTGTTACTCTGGATTGCTGAAGGAACCTCTAACATCTATTTTGCTTTGCTCTTTCTCTGTTTTTGATATGTGAATATTCATTCGAATCTTTTTTTTTTCCTCCTATTTTGGAGTTTGGGTCAACATTCCCTGCTTTATCTTTTCGTTACCAAAAAAAAAAAAGAATAGAATAGAATATGGGAGGCAAACATGCTACAATCATCGTTTTTATCCAAATCAAATTGTTCCAAGTTTCCTTTGTTCGCTTCTGCGTTTCCCACAAATGCAAGCCCTATCGGATGTTCTTCTCTTCTTCAAATGGGGTATGCTCTTTTTTTTTTTCCCCTTTTTTAAATATATGCATTGGTGTATTATTATTATTATTATTTTAAATTTTGGGTTAAACAGGAAAAACTTAAATCCACGTTTTTGAAAAGGTGGGTTGAATATTATATATTGTTAAGCTCTTGTAAGATCAATGATAAAAAAAAAAAAAAAAGACACGTTGATGGGTCAGGTCTCAATTGGGAGAAATTCATTTATGTTTTGGTAACTTATCAAGGGTGCCCGGTGAAAATGGTATATGTTGAAACGGGATGTCTTATTTATGCCTTTTGTAGCCTTTAACTTTTGGGTAATTTATTGACCTCCGATGGTAACACTTTAGTTTGAAGTGGAGTAGAAAAGCATTGAGTAGCAGCAGCAGGCAACGACTTTCAAGTAAGGCATGTCTACGCTTATAATGATGTGATAATCATGGACTTTCCAATCTAACTTTTTGCATTAAAAAGAAAAACAAATATTACTGAGTTTTTGGCCATGTTGCAAGGCAAGGAGCCATGTCAAGCATAGGACAACTAATGTCTACGGGCGTCAAACACAAGAATGTGTACTTGAGGTATAATCTACTAAAGTTGTTAGTCTTCATTATGCTTGTCTGCAATAACAATATGTATGAGTTATTTGAGAGGTGCATGAATTGTCCTTACTCTTTTGTTTCTCTTGTTCATGCATAAGAAGTAAACTTTTATGAATGGTACATGGTATTTGTCCAAATGCCATCTTTTATTAAATTGCAAAAATCTTTTCTATCTCTATGCAATTGTATTAGTACTGCATCTTTTGTTATGCTCACTTCACACATATGCTACTAGTTTTGACTAAGATGCAGTATATCTATCCTAATGATATGTGATTGATCCATGCCATTGTATTCATTCTTTGCAATTTCAGGAAGAAGCCCCTTTAATGGCAGAAATCACCCCATAATTCAAAATTTTCCCTGGTCAGGCATTGCCATTAGGCGTATCAGAAGTTGATAACGGGATCAATTTCACCATATTTTCACAGCATGCAACTGCAGTTCCACTTTGCTTATCACTTCCCCAGAGGTGACAATGCATGCTCTTTCACTTTATAAGTTATATTCTTTGTGTACTTAATTCTTTTGGGATAAGTTAACTAATTCATTGTTTTCATTTTCTCTCTTCTTAATTAATTTACATTGTGAAATTATGTAAATTCGCTATCCTCTAATGTGTATTTCTTTACGGGGTTTATTCTTCATTATACAGGTGCTTTTGATTTGTTATGACTGGCCTTTCTTGTTTATCAAAATAGTAAAAAATAGAAAAAAATGTTCGGATTAGTCAAACAACTTCTTTCTGGCCTATAGCAGGCAATGATATAAAAAATCCTATTCCTATATATTTATAGCATTTATCAAAGTAGAGAAACAAAGTTTTAGATTATTGTTAATATTTTTGCTGATGATTGTTGGTATAATGTGTCTTAGGGGAGAACTTGACACGCTGGCTGGTGGAATGATTGAATATTCCTTGGACCCTCATATTAACAAAACTGGAGACATTTGGCATTGATGGTCCTGAAGTAGTGTCCTCTATGTCTATGGTTATTGCATTGATGGTCCCAAAGATTGGAATAAAGGGCACCGATTTGACAGTAACAATGTGCTTATAGATCCTTATGCAAAGCTAGTAGAAGGTCACCGAAATTTTGGAGATCCAAAGCATGAACCATCCAAATTTCTTGGAACTTATGATTTTGACAGCTTGCCTTTTGACGGGGGAGACAACTACACTCTCCTAAACATACCTGAGGTATGGGCAAGATAGCTTGTTTTTATGCCAAATGCCGATTCTTCTATTGGGTTGATCAGTCACTCATTTATTCTTTCTTCTCACGTTTGGAAACTTTTGTTTGATGCATATCTGAATTAAATTTATCTCTTATTTCTTATACATGCATCCCATGCACTAATGCCCGATTTTAACTAATCCTCAAATCCTATGACTTTGTTTACAATCAAAGTCATTTTGTATTTCATCTTTCATTGAATATTTCTGCAGCTCAACGTTTGTGATACTTGCCACTTTGCTTGCAGAGTGATCTTGTTATTTATGAAATGAATGTTCGTGCCTTTACAGCTGATCAATCTAGTTGCTTGGATACAAAGGTCTGTGGCTCCTATGCTGGTCTGATTCAGAAGGTAATGATTTATTACATTATGCTCAATCACATTCTAAGAAATTGCCTTCTGAATAATGTATCAATTACTAAACTTGAGAATGCTTTTAGTTTGAATTTTATCACATCTAGGGCATGCAAATGTAGGTGATTCAATCTTAATCTCTTGTGAGTTATAACCAACATTTGAACGACATTGACATAGATACTTAACATTGACACAAACATAGGTTTTGGTATAAGACATGGGCATTAGGTTCAGTCCATCCTTAAAGGATGGATTTGCAATGCCTGTTACATCTTATGCTTTCTTTCTCAAATGAAGTGCAACTTTTCATGCAAAGAAATTAAGTTGTCCCAGCAATCTTAGCAAAGATGATCTATGCACAAAGATGCATAGGAATGATTGAGGAGAATGAACCTCAGTGGCTAAATTTGTTGTTGACAATCTTGTGTGAACAAGATTTTCTCCATGTTCCTTTCATTTCAATTTTTTCGTGGCTTGAGTCTCCATTTTAAGAGAATATGTTCAAAGATGTATCATTTTATTAAAATTTTGTTCCATTTCTAAACTTTCGTGGCTGATATTGAAGCCATCTGCATTAGGCAAACGAAAAACTTTCATTTGGCACTGATGATATCACGGGTAAAGATATTAGAAAGCCATTTTGTGCATCATATAACTGGTGGAATCTTTTTTTTTTTTTTTTTCTTTTTTTGGCTTGTTAAGAGCTCAATGAGCTTCAACCTTTTTTCTGTTTTCTATGAACGTAGGTTAAATTCTTCTAAACCTATGACATTACAGATTTTGCAGAAGTTTCAGTTTCCTTTTCTAGTTCTTTTGTTTATTCTAGCTAATTATGGTATGTGTCTTCCTGAAGGCTGATAGTCAATAAGAGGTCTGGAGATGTCCCTGACCTGCCCCCTTCAACTCCACCACTCTCTGTTTTATCACTGTATGTTGATTTTTTTTATTAGATTTCAGTTTTTTGCTTTATACTGCCATTGTAAGCAGGGAACTCCAATGATGCTAATGAGAGATGAATACAGGCATCCAAGATATGGGAATAACAACAGTTATGGGCATGATACTGCTATTAATAATTTCCAGTGGCAGCAGGTAAATTTTTATCAGTTTTCTAACAACTTTAATCCATATAGAAAAGCTTGTCTATTGAATTATACAAACACCATAGGTTTAAATACAGCTAACTAAAGGGTAAATTAGGAAACTAAATATTCCTAAATCTGATCCCTATAATTAAGGGATTGTCTATCCTGATATTCTATCCTTAATTCTAGAAATACAAATTCTCAATTTTAGGGATACAAATGTATACAGATTACAACCAGCTGTAACTAAATGTTTTCCCACACTCCCTCTCAAGCTGGTGAATAGGTGTTTTCCATTCCTAGCTTGGAAATAATTTCTTG